GCATTGCATGTCACGCCCTTACACGCTCACTTGCCGTGCCTACCCTTCCAAGCTCCCGCCCGATTACTGCTCTCATCGGGCGGAGGCCCCTACCACTTCCTCACCGTCTGAGACCGCAAGTCTCAACAGATGGAGTACGAGAAAATATTAATATTTATAGTACATAATTAGTATTATTAGATAGATTGTTGAATCTATTTTTATAATCAACTTATTTGGAGATACAAATATTGTTAGTATTTTCTACAAAATCAGTGAAATTTAATAAAATTTGACCCACACGAATACTATAACGATACTTATTTTGGGACAGAGGGAGTATGTGTGTCGCAAAGGTTTTCACCAAAAGTAGGTGGTTGTCTTCTTTTTCTTTTATAGAAAAAATTATTACTCCCTTCATCCCAAAAATAATGTAAATCTCGCTTCACGAAGAGTCCAAGAATCTTAAGTTTGACTAAGTTTATAGCAAATATTATCTATATTCAGATCTCCAATTAGGTTTAATATAAAAATATATTTCATGATTAATCTAATGATACTTATTACACATCATGAACATCAGTAAGTTTTTTTTATATATATTTAGTCAAAATTAAGAATCTTTGACTTCTTGGAAAGCGAGATTTATATTTTTTTTGGATGGAGGGAGTAACAATCAAGTAAGCTCTTTACAAACAAGACTGTTAACACCCGTAGGAACTTAGGTAATATGTTAGTATAGGAATGATTGTCTTCTAATAGACTTGCTTCTTAGTTTATCGCTAGTTTCATATGGTTTCTCTACTTTTGTTACTTTTTGTGAGATTTCTTTGTTAGCGATTAGCGAAAAGCTATAACTTTATAACAATTAGACAGTTGACTGCAAAACTTTAACTTTATAGCTGACTAATAAATCTTGAAATTAGCTAAGTCACTATAAGGACTACGTATTGATGGCTAACAATTAGACAGTTGAGTGCAAAACCTTTATCGCGAATAGAATAAATGAATTCGTTTATCTAGAAATAACCTATGAAATTGTGAGTAGCTGACTAATAAATTTTGAAATTAGCTAAGTCACTATAAGGACTTCGTATTGATGGCCACAATGCTTAAATCTCTGCTATAGTAGCTTCCATTCAGACATATAGTTGTGTTTATAAGAAGGGATCTGTGCGTGCACTGAGACCTGGCGACCATCTTTCCCAGTGGATCCGTACGTGCACCGAGCCCTTGGCTACCACACCCATGAGCCCCGGTGGCCGTGCCTACGTGCCCCCGCCTGGCCCTGGTCGTGCCAGCGCCCAGTGGCGGTTGAGCCCGCACTCCTCGACAGTGGTCATGCCCATGCTCGACCTAGGGTAAATTGGACCTCTGCTCACAAAGGGGCCCATCAAAGCAGGTTGAAGTTGAGAGAAACAACTTTTTTTAGTTTTATCACATCTCAAAATTAAATCTTGTGAGAGAATATTTTAAAGAGTTTTACTTGTGAAGCTATATAAAAAATACATGTCAAACACAAAATAACTCGCTGTATAAGATGTTGTGTCCAAGGGAGCCTTCTTTGACCGCTTGTTCCACATAAAACCAACGGTAAAAATAATGTCACTTGCAAAAAAATGGTAAAAATAATGTTGTAAAAATGTTTTGTCTAGAAGGGTCATGTAGCTCTTCGGCAATCGATGTGAAAGCATCGATGACTATTGACAATATCGGTGCACGCGGGTCCGGAGGCTCGACAAGAATTGACATATGTAGCTTCGATTGTCGATGTCGATGTTTGATGATGATTAGTTTATTAGTTGATGATTAGTTTATTGATCGATGTTTGATGTTGATTATTGAATAGCTCATGCCCTGTTCGTTTAGCTTCTAAGCCGTACTTTTTCAGTCAATAAAACAATATTTTTCTCTTACAATAAATCAGCCAACAGTACTTTTAATCACGTCTTATCAGCCAAACGAACAGGGCATCACTATATGTATGCTAATCGATCGGTGGAAGGGATACATCAACCTTTGAATCATTGAGGAGTTGGTATACCGTACCCAAGGTTACCCTAAAGCATGCATCGACGGATATTCATGAGATTGATACCCTATAGATGCCTCACGGTTGACTGATAATCCATCAGTCTACTACAGAATAAAAATAATACTTCTTTCGTTTTAAATTATAATAATACGTTTTATCTTTTCTAAATACATTGTTTTACTATATACCTAGACACAGTGTATATCTAAATGCATAGTAAAAGCTACGTATCTGAAAAAAACAAAATGTCTTATAATTTAAAACGGAGGGAGTAATTACCTAAAATAAAAACATGAGCACTGCACATATGTTCTGAATTGGAGATTTAGACCTAGACAAGATGGATAAGTCTTAACACAAAAACCCTGATCAAATCAGATTATTTAGACATTTAAATCTTGATGACAAGTCGAATCGCAAAATAAGGGCTCATTTGGTGCGTTTCTCGACGGGCTCCGCCTCCGTGTGTGGCTCCCTTTTCTGAGTGGACTAAGACACACCAAACGAGATCGCACGGAGGAGCGCATATGTCATTTCTTGTGCCGAGCTAGAGCTGTTTTGGTGTTCGGAGTCGAAGCGCTAAAAACTGGCACCACTTGTTGGGCCCCGGCTTTGATGACGGAGCACCTAGCATAGAGCCGCGCCATACGAACCCTAACTCTAATTAGATGATCATGGCAACTATCGAAATTTGTTCAAAGATCCAAAGGAGAGGCAGCCTAATGTATTCTAGGGAAATTAAAGGAGAGCACTGGCAGATCCACACCTCGAGGACATCGCCACTTGAGCTGGTCGACGAAGCCTAAAGGAGAATGTTTTATATGTAGCAAAAGGATAAACATAGAGCTATTATTATCTTTTGTGTGATAAAAATGGTCATGTTTAAAGGTCTATTTAGCTCAGCTATAAACCATGTAAAAGCTGCTATAATCTGAAAAACTGTTGTGAGTTATATTCTATGAAAAAACTGTAAACTGTTTAGTGGAAATAACTATATAATTTACCCACTTTTTTCTATCTTCCCATGAAAGAACTATCTCTGTATTTTCGCTCATTGTAAAAGCTAAAAGTCAAAAGCGAGTCTAAAGCGCTATATATAAAAATGGTATATATGAAAGCAACAACTTCTAGAATTTTTTTTAGATTCCATCGATTAGATTAACGGTCCGTAAAAATACTTTCAAGAAGCTGAACCAAAAGTATATAGCAAAAATTTGTGGATGAGCCACGGGAGTAACAGATGAGGATGGTCTCATATTGTCGACATGATATCATGACGTCGTGCACCGAGCAATAAATGAGGGTACAGGCGAGTGAGCTACATTTTCCTCTTTCCCAACCACCGCCCTGTTTGTTTTAGACTATGACTCAAAGAATCGTAGGTTGGTTTACTGTAAGAGAAAAATACTGTTCGTTGGATGATATAATTTATAAACTAAATACGATCAAACGAACAGGCTATACAATGTTTTTCTCTTAATTAGTTGTACCTATTCGCTTAAATTTATCAGCCGTACCGTTTCAATAAAATAATAGTATTTTTCTCTCATAACCAATCAACTTCAGTATTAGCATCAACTATTTTTTTTCGCTAGCCGAACAAAGCCTAAATCAATTGATGATTGATTCATTTGTTTAAGTTCTTTCTTTTCTGCTCTTGTCAGTATAAGTATCAATTAAGAATAATAAAGCAATGGATATTTTCCTAGAAGGTGCGTATATATGGCAAGAGGCAAATGGTGGCGCCGCGTGTTATTAGCGTAAATATATCCGACCCTGGGACCGCGGCAGGGATAGAGACGGATGACAAAGCAACGGATGCAGGAAAAAAAAATTCACCATCCTCCTTATCAATTCAAGATTTAACTACACACAAATAAATATAATACTACTAGTATTATTATATTATATTGGTATATTATATAGAGCCTGTTCATTTGGAGAAATTCTGAAAAAATTTAGATGATTTAAAAAAATATTAGAGAAATTTATGACAAAAAAAAACTCTGTTCTAAATAATAAAAAAACCCGCATCCAGCCGGATTTAATGGCACGCGGGGCCATAGTACTCCGTGAGAAGGAAAGATCAAATCAGAGATTCATTCGTTCAATTGTAATTGTTTCCTTCCATTCCAAACCACCTTCAATTCTGATTTCTGCGGGCGGATTTTCATAAGGTCCTCCTCCCCTTGCCACTCCAAATCCTCTGCAAATTTCTCATGGCAGCCGACGTCTCCATCCCCACTCGATCCGCCTCGACCACCCGCTAATTCCTCCTAGTTCTAGTCCCCTCTCTCCTGCGCCGACTCATCTTCTTCCTCGTCTCACTCCCCTGCCGCTGCTGCTGACGCTGCTGCTGCTGCTGGGAAGACCAAATCATTCCCGTCAAAGGTGCGGCCTTTTCTCCTCCCCGGTGCGTTCGTTCTTGCGCAATCTGCAAAGATTTGGATTTACTGCTCTGTAACAATTTTCGGGAGACGCCGTTCTCACCCGATTTGATGTGGGATTCCTCCGCGGAATTTGGGGCGGGACTGATGCCGCTTTCAGAGGCTTTTTTTTTTCTTTGGGCGTGATTTCGTGCTCAAATTGCCATCTTTTAACCAGGCCATTGCACTTTTCGTACCCCTGGAGACGACTCTGGATTCCGGGCAAATTTTAGATGGGTCATCGAGTGCTCTTTTCTCATGACTGTGGAAAAGAAATCCCTCCTGCCTTTTGAAAGCAGGTTGTGTATAGAAATGAATCACTTTGACCTATGATTTTGTTATTCTAGGCCTCTCCACCACTTACTTCACTATCTGGGCGATGATAGAACTGTGCAGACTGTTAGTGTTACTGTGAAGTTACGCCATTCCTATCTTTAATTTCAATTTTTTTGATGTTAGTAATGTATGATTGCAGGTGTATTAGGTGATTGGTGCTTTCGACCTGGTACTCAGTGCCTTCTGTTCAATTGCTGGCTCCAAAGGATCAGGGTTCTGTCAAGATGGCATGTCCAAGAGGAAGGACATCATTTCTCCTTTGTTTCTTTCTGATGATTTGCCTCATGGCTCAGTTGGGAGCTTCCAATGTTGTACTCATGGCGAACAACACTACCTTGTCGTTCGATGACGTCGAGGCAACTTTTAGTGAGTGCTACACATTATTACACTATGTCCATGTCTCTCTGTACATGTCAATAGCAATCTGGTATTCTAATGGCAACACAAGCAAAGCTAGTTAGCTGTTGTTTTTCTCAAACACACAAGTGAGTTGCTTGTCATTAAAGAAGATAAAAACAGTATAAGAAACCCATAACATCAAACACACACTCCAGCGCATTCTTAATTAGCTGTTGTTGTCATGTTCTGTTTTCTTTATTGCTAAATTGCCCTGTTTTTAGTGATTAGTGAATAATGGGCTGATCTCTTTTTTTTCTTTAGCCCTGTTAGTTACATGGCTCTTCCAGTTTCTTCTTATATAGTAGCATCATTTTTGTATCTTTATGATCGATAATGTGCAATGTTACCTGGGTTCCTGAACAAATCTATCTGGTTATGAAATGCTTATTGACCTTTTTCGCTTCTTCCTGCAGCTCCAGCAGTGAAAGTTTCAGGTGTAAATGGTGTACTTTATGTTGTGGAACCTATGGATGCATGCAGTCCATTGAGAACAAAAGCGATCAAAGGCTCTGTCTCACCATTTGCGTTGGTTATAAGAGGCGGATGCCAATTCGATGACAAAGTTAGAAATGCACAGAATGCTGGATTCAAGGCTGCTGTAGTATATGACAATGAAGACAACGGCGTCCTTGTTTCAAGTAATGATTCAGACATCATTTTTTTTTACCATAGCAGTTACATGTTATCCTTTATCAGTGCGCATAAAGGGGTGTTGCTCTATAAGGATTTGAGTATTTCTTGTTCATAATGCTGCAAGTCATTATAAACTGTTGAGAAGAGGAAAAGTAATTTTGCAAAGCAGCTCTAAACTATTAGATTAATTTCATTGAACCTAAAAGGTAGATAACTGAAGTTATCAAACTTAATGGTAAAATTTTTACCATTTAGAGTACTTGGTGAGTGCATATATTTGCAATTAATTAAGCAAGGATTATTGCAGTGGCTGGAAGCTCGTCTGGAGTCCACATATATGCAGTGTTCGTCTCTAAGGCATCAGGGGAGGAGCTGAAGAAATATTCAGGTCAAACTGATGCAGAGTTGTGGATAATAGCAACATATGAGAACTCAGCTTGGTCAATCATGGCAATTTCATTTATATCACTGCTTGCTATGTCTGCTATCCTAGCTGCTTGTTTCTTTTTGCGGAGACACCAGATAAGACGGGACAGGGCTCGACTTCCCCAAGCTCGGGAGTTCCATGGAATGAGCAGTCAATTAGTTAAAGCAATGCCAAGTCTTATTTTCACAAAAGTGCAAGAAGACAACTGTACATCAGCAACATGCGCCATTTGCTTGGAAGACTACAGTGTTGGAGAAAAACTAAGAGTGCTACCTTGTCGACACAGTATGTTTCTCACACATCTATTTAACTGATGTTTGGGAGTTTGTGGTCTATTCATTTTATATGTGAGCTGAATCTGGCTTGCTAGCCATTACTGTCCATGCATTGTTTACTACTCTTTACTATTTCCTTTGATCACAAATGTAAGTTCATCTAGGTTTATCCCAAACTTTTTTTTTCGCTGGCACTACTGTCTATGCTTTTTTTACTATTCTTACTACTTCTTTTCATCACAAATGACAAATATGACCCATTTAGGTTTGTTCTAAGCCAAGCCTTTTTAGCTTGGAGCTACTAGATTCATCAAGGAAACTACTTTCACAATGTATAACTGTTTCTTTTCAAGTCAAGTTAATAATATATTGCTTGTCCAAAAATGCCATTGCTTGTCCAAAAGCGTCAAGTTAGTAATATTTGTGATAAACGGAAGTAGGTATTACAGATGCAAATGCAGAATAGCACTACAAGAATGGTAGTAAAAGAATGCCATGGCCATGGTAGAGGGCAAAAAAATTAATCACAATACTTCTGTATTTTTTTGCTAGCTTGAGATTTCAGCTTGGTTGTATATTATTATACAACATTTCACATGCATTCAACAACTTTATTTTGCTTTCTGATTTAGTGATGATGCATATATTGAATTTTAGTTGCAACTTTGATTCCACTATGTAACTAGTGCTGCATGCATTTAAAACATCACCTGGTATACTTGTTATTATAAATCTCTCCTTAACTCATGACCTGAGGCTTGGTTGTTTCACTTTGCACTTTGCAGAGTTCCATGCAGCTTGTGTGGACCTATGGCTCACCTCCTGGAGAACATTCTGCCCTGTATGCAAGCGGGACGCAAATGCTGGAACATCAAACCCTCCTGTATCAGAGTCTACCCCTTTGCTTTCATCATCTGCCATTCCCTTACCAGAATCAACTGCTTTGGCTTCCTTCCAGTCTACAGTAGCAGCATCTCCCCCCAGGCCAATCAGCCGGCATCCTTCATCACGGGCCATATCCCGCAATTACTCCATTTCGGGTTCCAGTATCCCTCGCACCCCTAACCCTAGGTTTTATGCAAACTCATCTCCTATCTGCACAAGCGGAAGCAATTTGGACCTTGCAAATATATCATCCTCATGGTCTCGCACTTCGCACCTTGCATCTGCTCACTCTTTGTGCGGTGGCCACTTGTCCCCACCGATTGACATCAGAAATACCTCACCACACATCTCCCGTTCAGCCTATGGATCTCCCAGTCATTACATAGGCTCATCACACATGTCCCATGGATCTCTGAGTTACTACCTTGGATCTTCAGGGCAGCGGAATCCTTACCTGAGGCACTACACGTTGTCAGGCCCGAGCCTGTTCACCATGGTGCCCCAGTCACCGCAACAGAACCAGTTGCAGCACGGTGGAGACTCGGAAACAAATCTGTCAGCTGCTGCATCAACTCCGTCATTCCGTCAGCTCTACCTGCAGCATTGCCCTGATTCTGACACGTCATGTCAGTCGCTTCCAGGGTGCTGATTCTTGCTGCAAGATTCACCATTTTAACACTGATGGTGGCTCCAGTAAGCTCCCATGGGAAATCTTATCTGGTACCGAATTAACATGTGGATTTGAGCTCGTCAACATAATTCACCATGATGATAAAAAAAGGTGTGACAAAACTGCTTGTAAGAAGAGAGAATCGGCAACCCCAGAATGTGAGCAATTTTACTTGCTGAGTGTACAGGGAGTTTGGAGTAGTTTTGGATTTGCCTACTTTGAGGCATGTAATTCTGTCATAGGTTGCTTCTGCTCAATAGTTGATGTGTTGCTTCATCTTGAAGAAGCAAATGCGCCTGTCTGGTTTCACGAGCGTTTAGCGTGTACTGATACAGCTTTGTAGGAATCCTAGATGCTGTTTGTCTATTGAGGTTTGAGCCTGTAACATTTCCTTTTTTTTTTGAATTAGTTCATATGGGCATTGAAATCTGAATAGAATAAAGCCTTGGGGCTGAGGCCCTTGTTCTCCCGTTTAGTATGATGAATTGAAGATCCTATAGTATAGATAGATACACCCCTCTATTTCTAGGTACCACTTGTGCAGTAACAGACTAAACTGCCATGGCAGCCATGAGCTGAAAGAAATGCTGAAAATGAGATCGGTTAAATGAACTGGTATAATGTGCACTTTTCAGCTTCATTCATTTATGTTGTTGCTTGAGATCATTTTAGCGGACAAACCGAGTATGTATTCATTTTGCAACAGAAACTGGAATCAACAATGGATTGTCCAATAGGAATAGGATTAGCCCACAAAGTAAAAAAGGGTGAGAAAATATGTTTGCTTCACACGTCACTGAGCAACTGAGCATACAAATTCCTCTAACAATAGTCCACAAGTAAAAATAGAAGGAACAAAGAACACACGGATAAAAACACACGCTGGACAAAGAACTAAGTAGTATTTTGCCCTATCCTGAATCTGCACATGTTTGCCCGCGACAAAGTTATTCCTGTGGTGAACTTGAAAGCTTCTCCATCAGCATATTGGTAATGTTACCATACAAAAGTTATCCGCTGGTTGTATTGCATACCTGCCTCGTAAAAACACCTATCAATCTCACCAAAAAAGTAGGGTTATATCAAAGCACAAGAAACTATTGTGGAAGCAGTTGATGCACAGGGAACGGAACTCACTAGATAATTATGCATGATGGTTGAATTCGAAGGTGCAACCCAACGTCCCAACCCAGAGTATACCAATAACCTCCTGTTCATTTCCATAATGGTTCTGGATCTGGTACTTGGCCAACTGCAATTCATCGGTGACTTTTGCTAGTTTGCCCCCAAGGGTAAAGTTTAGTGCATCACACGCATATTGATGGTCTTAGGATTTCTGGATCAATGGATGTACTTCTGCCCATTATATGGAGAATGTTTTTTTTTTCATTGGAACATATGGGCACCATTGGCTTATCTGAATACCATCTTTCCTTTACAAAAATACACGGGAGTTTCCACCATGTGTACCTTTCAACAACTTCCACTCTTCCAGTCCCAGCTGCTTTGACTTTGGCCCATTTTGCTCACTAGCAACACACAAGATCTCTTGCCAAGCAATGGGCAGTCGGCAGCCTTTGAAAGTTCAAGTTGCAGAGACAGATCAAGCAGCAACTTAAAACCCTGCAGTAGTCCAGTCTCATTGCCAGCCAGCTTCTCCAAGAGCTGAACTAGTAATGAACTACAGTGAGGAACAAAACAAGGACACGTGCAACTGGGGAAAAACCTACATGTATGATCAACAGTAAGTATTTTTATTGTCATGGTAAGATAAACTGTATGGGCTAAAAGGAAATATGTAGCGTCCTCCTGAAACTTAAACAAGCAAAAACATGCTCAAACATGGGAAAACAGTAGCACAAATGATACAAGCATTCGGAAAGCACCTGGAAACAACTCCCCATACAGCAGCACTTTTGACACATGATGCATGAAGTCCAACTGTTGTTAAGACATGGACGCAAAGCAGGCGGCAACTGTGCACAACGTATGTCTCAATCTGAGTTCAATGTTTCTTTTCTCTTGAATATGCGTAATTCAATGTACAAGTAATCACACTCCCCCAATAGGTAACTGTCGTTGTTTTCGGACCACCGATGAGTAAATTTATATTTGCGCGTCCGGCTCGGATGGTGTGCTCGGAGGATACAAGGGTTTATACTAGTTCGAGCGGAATGTCCCTACGTCCAGTTCGCTGCTGCTCGTGTTACCGGCTCTTGGTTTGCAGTAGGGGTTACAAACAGGCGAGAGAGGGAGAGGATCCCAAGTCTATGGTGGAAGAAGTGAACAGGTGCTGAGAGCTCGCTTGCCGCTCAGCCGTGTGCTCGTGTCGTGCTTTTGTGTTCCGATCTCTCCTGTCCGGATCTCGATCCTTGCTTCTCTTTTTATAGGCGAAGGGAAAGCGCGGGTTACAGAGGAGGAAAAAGTAGAAGAACGAGAGAGAAGAAGGCTTTCAGGGTTGCCGGGTCCTTCTTCTCCTTCATGCGGGTCCCGCTGATCCTGTAGATGTCAACAGGGATGGCTCTATGTCTCGGCCCTGTTCGTCACTGGCGCCATGCACAGGAGTCATCTGCCAGTCATGGCGTTCCATTCCATCCCGGCGGACGTCGTGATGAATTGACGCGCCTGTCAGCGTCCGTACGAGGATTAGGCAGAACAACACTGGCACGTCCGACACTGTTCTTGATTTGAATCCCCAGGTATGGTCCGTCATAGCCACGGGTTACATCGAGACGTACCAGCCTCTTCCCTAGCGTCAGAGTTTTGACCCAGGCCCATACGCTTGGACCTGGAGTGGTTGGCGGTGGTATGGGCCCCCGTCGGACGAGACGGAAACCGCGTCCTTGGGGTCGGGTGAGACGGAGCCCGCTTCCTAGGGGTCGGGCGAGGCGGTGCCCGCACCCAAAGGGTCGGACGAGACAGAGCCCGCGGCCTCGAGGTCGGGTGAGGCGGAGCCCATGGCCTCGGGGTGGGGTGAGGCGGAGCCCACGGCCTCGGGGTGGAGCGAGATGGAGCCCGCGACCTCAGGGTCAGGTGAGACCTTTTAATACGTCTCGAGCCATCCAAAGGAGTTAGCGTGGGCTCTAACTCCCTTGCTTTGGGTATCCCTAATATCGATACCCGACAGTAGCCTCCGAGCATGCGGAGGAGTAGAATATTCCTTTGGAGGCTTTTTTGGACAGGAGGACTCTGAGGGCCTCGGCCTTCTTTTGGTAGCCTACGGCGTGTCCTGGTAGGACGACGATTCCCTTTTGTCACGATCGGTCTTCTTGGGGTCATGTAACCGTAGGATTCGGGAGGTCGGAAAGATTTTTCATGATTCTGGTCCCCTAGGATCCGATCGGTCCGCCGTCGTACTATGACCGTGCGTTCGGTCTCCTTCGAGTTCAACTTCCCTTGAGCGCCCGCACGTAGTAGGGGTCTGATCGAGGGTCGGCTCATCTTTGTGATCGTCATCCCTCAAGCGTTTTTTTTGATAAAACAGAGGGGTTGAGCCGTGCCACGTCTTTCTTCGATGGATGAAACATGGTGCTCGGTGAGCTATTAACGGGCTAGTCTGAGTGGGGCCCCAGCTTCCTATTCGTGGGGTTCCAACATGGGTCAGCTAGTGACCGATTCTAGACTCTTGGCGGCCAATCCATTTAGTTCTTGGGTCCGTTTGTCCGGTCCCAAGGGCTCGTTGCCTTTCTTCGAGGAAAAACCATGGACTGGGAACCAAACAAGACTCGAACATGGGCTGCGATGCCTGCGACGCTCGTGCACCAGGGTACTGGTCGCTAGTGGGCCCATCCCTTTTCACCCCTCGCTCTAAGGGTGCCCCGGAGCGGCTGTGAACCCATCGGTGGGGCAGCCTTCGAACTCCCGGTCCTAAATGGGCCGTAGGAGTGTTTTAGCTCTGTATCCCTCCTTACCTATGACGGTTCTTGGCCCATCGATCGGGCAAACCATCATCTGGCATGTCCTTCGAGGGCACGGCCAGAGATAGCGTGCGCATGATCTTCGGAGGGAGGTGACTTGGCGCGGCGCAGCGGGCGCGTGAGTCTAGGCGAATGGTTCGCCTTCTCACCTCGCTCTGTCCTATAAATAGCGGTCTCCCCCTTCATGTTTTTGCACACCAAAACCACAGCCTTACCTTCTCCATTTCTCCGTCGTCGCCGTTCGGATCTGCCGTGCTTGCTAATCCGCTGCTGGAGCCCTAGATCTATAGCTTCCGCTTCTCTGCCGCCGCCTTTGCTTCTCTGCAGCCGCCTCCATCCTCCATGGATTCATGGTACCGCTCCGATGTTACCCATGCGCCCATGGAGGGCCTCGTCAAGCGTGGTCTTCTCCATGGGAGGACCGATGCGGTGGAGTGGCTCGTGCCCGGCCGTGAGGATGCGCCGGCGCCGCTCGATGGCTATGTCATCTCCTTCGCGCCCTTCCACGAGCGCGGACTCATGGTTCCTTCCCACCCGTTCTTCTAGGGTCTGCTGCACCACTATCAGATCGAGCTGCAGCACTTGAACCCCAACGGGATCCAGCACATCGCGGCCTTCATCGCTATGTGTGAGGTGTACCTGGGGATCGAGCCCCACTTCGAGCTGTGGAGATATTTCTTCTCCATCTCCTTGATCAAGAAGAAGGAGAGAGGCCGAGAGATCCCGATGCTGATGGGATGCGCGGGCATCCACCTTCGGGGGCAGCGGGCGGCCAAGTACATGCCCTGCCAGCTCTCCAGATCCAACAAGGGGTGGCACTCGCATTAGTTCTACCTGAAGAACGACCCTGCCGCTCCCCTGTCGATCTTCTCTAGGTGCCTGGTCGAAGAGGTACCGCCGTCATGGCCGTGGGGTCCACCCATCAAGGAGAAGAAGAGGATGTGCGACCTCCTCGAGGCCATCGCGTTCCTGAAGACCCACGGCCTCCACAGGGCTGGCGTCATCGGGGGTATCACACGAGGAGGGTGGACTAAAAAGTCTTGATTATCAAATCTTTATGGA